CACTTCAAAATTGTCCTGTTAGTTTATAAGCAGCTCGAAGGTGATGTGGTTCCACTCCGCTGCGCTGCGGTCCGACCTCCACAGCAAATACACAACCATTGTAATCAATGAGAGTATTTACACTGACTCCACACAGCGGCGCAGGGTGGCGGTGAGCGGACGGTAGTGTTGTAGTCAAGACCACCTAACCCGAGACCAAGTCAAGACCAAGACTTTTAGGGTTTGGACCAAGTCGAGACCAAGACCGAGGGAGGTTGAGGCCGAGACAAGACCAAGACTTTTAGGGTTTGGACCAAGTCGAGACCAAGACCGAGGGAGGGTGAGACCGAGACAAGTCCAAGACCAAGAAAAAAAAATATGTCCTAAAAGATGAAGTATTCTGTACACATGGACAGTGAGGGAAAAAGTATTTTGTATCTCATAGTTGAGATCTAACAATGATGTCAATCACAGGCCTCTCGCATTGTTTTAGATGGGAGAACTTGAACTATTGATCCTGACTAAATACTTTTTCTCCTCACTGTAGCTAACTTAATATGTAGAGCTAATATTGACAAAATCTTTGTGCTGTACGCTTCCTCCTGGTTGTTGTTGTTTTACAATAATATTATTTATGAATAATGTAGCCAATTTTTTTACTTAAAATTTTGAAGACATCCATTACCGCTCCCAGAGAACCACTGCTTACTTTCCTGGAGTGAATGTGAGTGAAGAGAGTGGAGATGGGTGACAGCCGGTAACAAAAATACACAAATAGCAACAAGTCAAGTTTGGATTTGAATGAGTAGCTACAATTTAAATCCAATGAAAGCAAGAATGTTAACTAATAAATTGGACAATAATCTGGCTGTTTAGTGATATTTCCACAGTCGTGGTCTTGACTGGTCTTGAAATAAAATTCCGAGTCCTCAATGTCCGACACCGAGACAAGACCAAGACCATCAAAAAGTGGTCTTGAGACCGGTCTTAAGACCAAGACCGGTTTCAAGTACTACAACACTAGCGGACGGCGATCTGCGAATCCGCCAATATTAGATTCGATCCTATTTTTGCCAGAGTCAATCTACAAAGATCACGTTGCACCACCAGGAACAGGAACGAGCACATTCCTATTTTCAAAATAATTCACCAAAAGCAGACTCATTTTGGCTAAAATCCCAGCTATGTTAATAAATATATTGATGTATTTCTACACAAATGGTGTCAGAATGTATTGTTCTGTTTGGGAAGCAGGTGAAAACGTAGATATGGGCACCAGTGACCCACACGTCCCTGAAAGGAATGAGCGTGTACAGAAAATGGATGGAAACATGTAGCGTGCAAAATATGCATACACACACGATTCACGTGAAATTTATTTTGAAATCAGAAGTTTCAAAAAGACGGCAGTGATGCAGTTCCAACTGTGTTTGGACTCCATCTTCCACAGAATTAATTATTTCTGCTCGGACTTCCACATTTATCACTGGATTTATCCAGCATTCTCACATTTCCTGCACACGCCTCTCGAACCTCCTCTGTGTGTCGCACCGGACCGGACCTGAGCAAATTATGGTGCAAACAAACGACTGCAAACTGCGCAACGCAGTGGAGCGGAACCACATCTAGTGTAAATTAGGGATTAGCTTCCATCCATATGGTATCTTTTACCTGCTTCTTCCTTTCAGGGTCAAGGAGGTCACCAGTTCCCAAATCCAGCAGTCAGTGTACACGCAGGACAGGCTGCAGGTCCATCTCAGGGCCACATAGAGACAAATGACCATTCACTCACAACAAGGGACAGTTTAGAGTTTAGCCTTACATGAATGTTTTTGGTCTGTGGGAGGAAACCAGAGGACCCGTAGAAAGCCTACGCATGAACGGTGAGAACATGCCAACTCTACGGAGAAAGGTCCTGGCTAGGATTTGATCCAGCAACCTTCTTACTGAGAGGCAACAGCTCTACCAACTGAGCCACTTTGCTGCCCCTAGATAGATTTAACTTTGTTTGAACCTTTTTTCTATAAAACAATGCTTTAAAAATGTTTTATTAGAGATATAATTAAATATTGTTCATAATAATGAGACTAATTGTGGTTCATCTAAAAAGACATCTTGAGATTAATTGTGATAATTTTTTTGAACTTTCCTCAGCATTACTAATAATAATGAATTTTGTAATCCAAAAGGCTAATCCAAAATGAAATTCTGGCTTTTAAAATTGATCTATTGAGCTTTTCTACACTTACCAAAACTAACACAAACCTAATTCAGGCCACCGTCCACTACGTTTTTAAGAGTATTAACCTTTATTTTAACAGGTAAATCCCACTGAGGTCACAGATCTCTTTTACAGGAGAGGCCAGGGCCTGAAAGTAGTTTAAACATTTATGCTTTTAGACTGCGAGAGGAAATATACGGAGCCCGTCCATGAAGTAAAGTTATCACGTGGCCACGAGATAATAATGCGTGCCCACGCAATAATTATGTCGTGGCCACCACATAGCTAATTATTGTTGTCATTTCTGCACGGCCTGTTCATTGTTTACATGGACGAGTCTGAATTAAACTAATTTATTTTAACAGAATGAATGACGTTGCTACGTCAGCAACTTACGTTAGGCATGAAGTAGCTGTTTCTTAGCTTTATGTGCTGCAGAAGTAAGGCCCAGGTCACAACTGGAGTTGTTTATTTGTCGAAAAAGCTTATTTTTGAAGCTCAACTTTCAAAACAGGCTCCTGTCCCTCTGTGCCTCAGCTGCAGGAGGAGTCGGAATCATGCTGCGTTCAGGAACACAGTAAAAAACCTGTTTCCTGACACACAACCAGGGTGTTCACTGTCATTTCATAAATAGCCTACTATGACTGATGATCCATTTATATTGGCATACACCTAATAAT